TCCCTCTTTCCCAGACCACAAAAGTCCATTTCAATCCCTCCGGAGCATCTCAAAGGACGAGTCTTCGCACAATCTCGGCAAAAGGAGACCCGATCCCACATCCCTCGCTCTTCTGGTACGTCATGGGAGGAGAGCACCACCCTCCTTGGTCAACAGAACGATAAGGCAGAACGGTGGATGGGGAAGTCAACGCAGCCAGAGGCTAAGCAGTCCTTAGACCTTGAGAGGTGGAATTCTTTGTTTTGTGTTTTTCTGAAAAAAAAGCTAAAAATCCTTCCCGGACCGGAGGGCGAAAAAGAAAAGAGCAATACACATCTTTTTAAAGGCAAGAACCAGCTTCTGCCAACACATCCCGCACACGCTCAGAAGTCTGCAGAAGCTTGGCTCTGAAGAAGCCGTCAACCTCTTGAGGGACCTCAACGGCGTTCCTAAGTTCCCGGGCGAAGATCCGAGGCTACGCAACTAGAGGCGTCATCCTCACACTCCCACGTGGCTTAAGACAGGAGGGACTGCAACCTGGAGAGTCAGTGGGAGAGGGAGATGAATACACCGCCCCCTACACACACACACACACGCACGGTGTTAGAAGATGCCTTTGGCGATTTTCAACCCTTTCTGTTTCACCCTGGGTAGAGTTGAGCTGGATCCGTGCTTGATTTTGATCACCTTGGAGAAACCTCGCTTCTTGAGCACGAAGTCGTAGTTGGCGGCCGAGTTCATGGCGTAGAAGACGTTGGCGTTGTTGGGAATTTTGAGCTCTGCAGGGGAAGGGGTGGGGTGGAGAGAGAAAGAAAGAAAGAAATTAAGATTCTGGGTTGAGCCGAGTCTCGCTCTAATTATCTTATTTTGGCTAGTGCAGCAATAAATAATAATCACATTTTTTTTATATAAAAAAAATCCCGAGTTAATAAGGTTTAGGGAAAGTTAGGCAATACAGCAAATAAAGAAATAGCATAAATAAAGCGGAGAGTCCAAAAGGCCATCTTCTGTACCTCTTTCTTCCGAGATGATCTGGATGAGTTCATAATCTTCCGGCCGATCCCCGTCCAGATTGTGTTTGGCCATAGCTTTGCGGATCACTACCGGGGTTTTATCCTGGCTTGTCACCTGGAAGAGGGTATTTAAAAGAGGTACACCTTTAGGCCAACGGTAACGTGAAGCCAAGTTCCCTTCATTTCATGGCTAAGGCAATTGATGTTCTCCAGATGTTGCACTAATGATGTTCCCTGGTTGGGTCATGAAATGTCTGCAAGAAAACCACCAAGCTCAGAGAGCAATAAGGATCCACAATCCTCCTCCTCCTCTTCACAAACCCCACTCCCTACTGGCTCTGATGATGTTCCCTAGTTGGGTAATGAAACGTCTGCAAGAAAACCACCAAACTCAGAGCTACTGTAATATAAACAGGGAGCAAGACACACCCACTAGCAGTGATGATGTTCCCTAGTTTGGTCATGAAACATCTGCAAGCTCAGAGAGCATCAAGGACCCCACAGTCCTCCTCCTCCTCCTCTCCACAGACCCCACTCCCTTCTAGCACTGATGGTGTTCCCCAGTTGGGTCATGAAACATCTGCAAGCTCAGAGAGCATCAAGGACCCCACAGTCCTCCTCCTACTCCTCTCCACAGACCCCACTCCCTTCTAGCACTGATGGTGTTCCCTAGTTGGGTCATGGAACATCTCCAGGAAAACCACCAACCTCAGAGAGAGCACCAAGGACCCCACAGTCCTCCTCCTCCTCCTTTCCACAAACCCCACTCCCTTCTAGCACTGATGATGTTACCTAGTTGGGTCATGAAACATCTGCAAGGAAACCACCAAGCTCAGAGCTACAAATACTTTCTCGAGAATGCCAAGGCTGTGTCTTTGTGAGTGTGCAAGAAGAGAAGGTCTAAACCCACGATCTTCACCAACTCTGGTTCCAAAGCCATGTCCATCAGCTCAAGTCTCATCAGCCTACCGACCGTTTCAATGCGCGCTAGATCGTTATCCCAACCTCGTCACCCCTCCTCGCCTCCGGCCAAAGACGGGGTACCTACCAAAATACTTTTATACATGTTTCCGTTATCCACCGCCAAGCTGACCCGGATGATACAACAATCGTCGATCTGCTGGTTATAAAGAGGTAACGAGAGAGAGGAATAGCTCGAAATGCCCGAGACGCTGCGTTTGTGCGTACGGGACACCGTCACCGGCGTGGAGGAGACGGACGATGACGAAGCGCTGCTTGAACTTGACCCAACACCCGATGTATCCAAGGAGGACAACGAGGTAGATTCCCAAAACTGAGTAGACCAGAGAAAAGGAAGGAGAACGTTGATTGTCTAATCA